TATATGATTAGTGTCGTCAATGACTTTTAACACTCATTGTAGTCTGGACACAAGTGACTGTTGCTCCAGCCTGGTCAGTGGTGTTGGAGGACAGAGGGTTAAGAGATAATTCCTTTCAACTGCACCCTTTGAAGCTGCTTTCAGAATCTGCTGTTTGGTCTGTGAGGGAAAATAAAAGTATATATATATTATCATTCCATTTACTTAATGGAACAAAAGAGCAACTTCCCTGGTGAATTTTCATCATTAAAACGTGGGGGGGGTAGTTTTAGGGGAATATGGTTTATCATTTTTACAATTATGACGCACGAAATAACTTGAGATTCTGTAGCTTTAGAAATCAACTTTCAACTCCTTATTCATGCAAAATGTTCCATAATTCAAGCCTATTTTGCATGAATAAGGAGGTGAAGCTTGATTTCTAAAGCCGATATGAATGTCGTATGAAGGAAGGAAAGCTTATGTGAAAATCAATGGAATCCTTAGTGAATGGTTCAACACTGACCAGGGACTAAGACAAATTGTATCATATCTTCTTAAATATACTTACAGATAAAAGTATAAAGAATACTTGCAGTGACATTAGAGGGTTGTTGATCATGGTTCTTGAATTCATGTGTACTTTTGTACACAGACAGTTGACTTAGAACCCAAATGACTTGTAGTGAGAGATAATTGTACAATGTCACGAACATTGTGTTTTACAAGAAAATGAAGTAATCAATTGCAAGTATACATGAACAGGGGAAAAAAACAGAGCAAGAAGAAGTGACTGGGTTTGTTTTGAACTAGAGGTGTATTATGATTTGCAAGGATGGCAATTGACAAAGAGAAATAAGACAGTGGAGACTTTTATGCTTTTTTTACTATATACGCTAAAACTATTTACATCAAGTATTTACAACAGGAATATACAACACAATTGCAGTATTTACCCGATGGCAGGTTTCTTCCTAAGTCTCCTTCCCAGAGACTATCCCCCTCTAGCTCTCTTGCTTCCTCCCCTTTTCATTCCCTCCCCTATTTCTGATTGAGTGAAAGGAAAGGAATGGACTGATTTACTGTAGTGTGCTCAGCATGGCTTGACTTTTCTCCTGGAACTGCTCAGCTGAACACCTACTGCTTCTCTGTTGGGGGAAGAACCTCTCTCAGGGTCTTTTGCCCAGTCCTTCCCCAGAGCCCAGGGTTTTGCCAACAGACAATCCCCTCCCTCCCGTCTTGGGTCTTGCGTGGAGATGCCATCTGCAGCCAGTCATGTCCCTCCTTCCCATCTTGGTGTTGGGTGAAGATATCATCTCTCTAGGTCTTCTCTTCCACTCTTCCAGTGAAGCCACCTGTGGATCTTTCTTCTCCCTTCCCAACCAGGAATTGACAACTGCTCTACACACTCCTGTAACTTCGCTCTCCAATTTTTCTCTCCAGCCACTGTTTTGCACAGAGTTTTTTCTCTTCTTTTCTCCTCTCTTCTCTCTCTCCAATTTTGGGTCAGACCAGCAGCATGTCCCCAGCAATTGAGGAGGTGGGTGTCTCCCCATCTATATACCCAACACATGGGACTGCTGTCTTTACATCTCCCTACAACAGCCCTAGCTAGCAGCCAGGTCAACTCATCAGCCCTCATGACAGCACAGCTGCCCTTCAAAGCCAGAACTGAGCTCCTTCTCCCCTTTTTTCACTCAATTTGCTGATTTCCACCAGCACAACTGCAACCATGCAGGCCACTAAAAACCCATATGTCACATAGGTAAATTTCTGTATCTACTAGAATGTTTACTAAAGATGCAAAAATGGAAGGTGAACTTTTAAGATGTCCACATGCTGGTAAAAATGTACCGGAGACAATGTGGTCTGTTGTGAGGAATGAAAGCTTATAGAAAGAAATGAAAATGGCAGTTAAAACAGCATGCTTCTCCTTTCCCCTGGAAAAAATTGGAGAAATTATTCATCTAATTTCTCTACCCATAAATGTGGTGGAGAATTCTGGAAGGCCACTTGTGCCCAGTTCTGACAGCCATTTCTTTCCTCTCAATGAATGTTTTCGTTTACAAAATGCTCTCAACCAGATTACGCTAAAAGAGACTCCTAAGGACCACTACTGAATTATAGAACTAGCCAACTCCCCTTAAATCAGTAGAAAACCACACTGGCACGAAAACTGCCATTCCCATTGCAATCTCCACCCTCCCTCTATTGTCTCAGTGCGTTGCCAGTCATATCACTTCTGTCCAAGGTCATGCGTAACAAAGTCTAATAGATTTTACACACCTTGAGGCTGCCCTTGGACAGTATAAGAGAAAGGAAAAAAAATACTATTTTAACTACAACTAAAGACGAACTGAGCCTATCCCACTCATGGGCTGAGGATGAAATGAAGGTATGTCATGGAGACACAGCAAAAGTAAGAAGTTGCCAAGGTGTGTTTGTACCACGGTTAGGTATAAGCGAGGATATGGCCACAGACTAAGTGACTGAGCTGGTAGTTCAAGTTGAACTGTGAATCCTAGTGTGTAAATTTATTATTATTTATTTGACTTGTCTCCTGCCTTTCTACCCAGTGAGCAGAAGCCTCTAAACTCTCCAAACTTATTTTTAATGTGTAGCCCAGTTTTCCCTGGTTTTTCCCCCATCTCTCTGCATGATCTTGTATATATAAGGGACTGCCAGTCCACATGCATGAACTAGCTGTTCAGATTAACAGTTGTATGAACTTGTAGTGCCATTTCATCTCAAATCACTGATAACCATGCTGGAGGTGGTTAGTCACATGTATCCCATTTTCTCTCTCAACAATGTCAGTGAAGTCATATGATGCCCTGGGAATTTTCACCAAGGGTTGTTTTTCACTGAATAAGCCATTTGCCTTAAGGCCCAAAATGTATTCTTCTCAAGTTTGGGAAAGCATCACTCTGTCATTTCATGAGAAATGCCTCTCAAGCAAATTATACATTTTGTTGAACAGCAGAATATCATTCTAATCTGAAAATTCTCTGTAAACAATTATTTGTACAGTGATTGTCACAACTGGACTTCTAAATGTTTTAGCCGCTGGATGGAATAGCTACCCTAAAAAGAATATTCATGTAAACATCCTTTGCAGTTTAAAGTGGTCAGACACCCTGGTAATGTAGACCCTATTCACACTCATGTAGCCCATGATGTTAAAACATGAAAAGCATATAAGGAGATCTCATGTCAGTCAGTGCAATCCCAGGTGCTTTGCTGTGTGCACAGAGCTGCTCTGATATGTGAGTTGTGGAGCACAGCTATCAAGTATGTGGGTGGTGGGGGTATATATGCAGTTGGGCAATACCCTATCCATCCTATTTGACCTCCACTACAGAAACTTTCCAAACTGCTTACTCATGAATTTCATAGAAAACTGGATTCGGAATGAGTGACACAATACTTGTGTCCATTAATTCCCTGGCCAAAATTTGGCCTGTCTGTAAGGCAAAGTAGGCAAAGAGGTGCAAAAGAATTGCTACAAGTTTGACATCTGGACTCATATTAAGGACAAAGTAGTATCAGTGCATTTCAACCTCCCAGGACACTGCATTACAGATCTCAAAACAGCCTTGATGGAAAAAAGGAAGGCCAGTTTGGCCCAGTGGTTAAGGCACCAGGCTAGAAAGCAGGAGACTGGGAGTTCTAGGCCTGCCTCAGGCACGAAAGCCAGCTGGGTGACTTTGGGCCTGTGACTCTCTCTCAGTCCAACTCACCTCACAGGGTTGTTTATTTATTTATTTATTTATAGAAGGAGGAAGGAGTATTAGGTACGTTTGCCACCTTGAGTTATTTATAAAAAATAATAAAGTCAGGATAAAAAAAATCTAAACAAAAGAGCAGCACAACTGAGCAAGAGGCTGCTCATCAAAGGGTTTCAGGCTATCTCAGAAAGTATCAACAAACACAAGGGCTTTTTTAACACATTACAAATTCCTAATTGGTAAAGTAAGGGTAATCTGTCTCACATGTAACCTGCTCCGGCCTAACCAATCTATCTTCTCCTCACTTTCTCACCCTCCCTCATCCCCATTTAAATCCTTCATCAGTTTAGCCACCCCACTGCATGGGATGAAGTGAGCTGCTGCTGGGGACACAGGTATGCCTTTTAATAAAACGTGTTAATCTGAAAAGGTGCTACCGGACTCCTGATTTTTGGCTGCCGTGGCTCTCCTCCTGCAATTCTCTAGCAGGTCTTCCACCATCTGCTGCCCGCCCTTGGGCTCTGTAGGTCACATATGAAAGAGTTATTTCTGGTGCTCTGTTTTCTCTCTGCCGGGAGAGAAAAAGCCACAAACATTACAAACGGTACTTACGAAGTATTTTGCAAGCTAAACCGAGCGCTCCGATTTTGAAAATACCACTTCAACGTATTCGAGGTATTTCGAAAGTATTTTGAAAACGGTGATACCTGGCTTTAGGAGACAGTGCGCAACCCGCCCGCAAGCACATAAAAAGCCTTCTGTGCCCCCTGAACCTTTTCGCAACGTCTATTACGCATATATCAAATTGCGGGGTAAAGTATTACAGAGTCTGAGGCTAAAAACTTAGAAGAGAGGCTGTCCATCCGGCTGACGCCTTCGCTTTCTCGTGTCCAAAGGCGGTCAACTCCCGCTTGCAACTTCCGAGAAGGTCTCTCCCAGTTGCAACTTCTCAGCCCCCTCCGCGGACGTCTCCGGAGGCCGCCTCAGCTCGCCCCGCCGCCTTGGCCTGCCGCCAAGTGGGCTGGAGCGGGGCGGTGCTCCGGCCCGCTGACTGGCGGGGGCTGGACGAGCAAGTTTGTCGCTTTTTTGGCAGAGGCTGGGGAAGACTGGCACGCTTCTTCCCTTGGCGGGTAAGGCCGGCAAAGCGTGCGGCGTCCTGAGGGAAGAAGCGGAGCGGGTGGGGAGAGTGGAGGTGCCCCAGAAGCAGGGACCAGGCGGCGGCGCTTTTACGCGCGCCTGTGCTGTTCTAAGGACGAAGCAGTCGGAAGGGAAACCCCCCGAAGAAGTGAGTTGTTCTGAGGTGGCGGTGGGGTCGTTCGTGTCCCGCGAATAGATAACCCCTTTCGACCAAAGAGTCAGCAGAGTGCAAAGGGGTGAACCCCGTGCACTCGTGTCCCCCCTTCCTTTTGAGTGTGCCCCTCCTCCATGTTGTACGGATTTTGGGAGTAGGTAAGCATTGAATGGGATTTATTAGAGTTGGGGAGGAGGGCGTCTGCTCAGTCTGAACTGAAAGAACACGCACGCCTTCTTTGAATGTTTGTATTCTCACACTAAAAGACACACACGCACACGTGTCCACCTAGAGAAAGTTGCGGCGTCTTTTGTCCACGACTGTTTTGTAACAGAATTCGACTCGCTGAGTGACTGTGGTACAGCCGCTCATTTCGGCCAAAGAGCTCACCAGGTTTGTAGTGATAGAAATGGGGAGAGGAGATCTCTGTATACCCCACCGTGGGTTCCCAGAAAGAAGAGCGGCTGGAAAAACTGCAGCTCAGTATTCAAAATCGGATTCAGTGTAAATGGTCTCTCCTGTATTGGGAGTGACCTGGGGTGTACTTCTGTACTTGGAAGATACCTGGCCCATAGTTTGTTTTCCTCACTTTTAAAACGGAGCATGCTGTTGGTATATTAATGCCTTCTGTTTCTAATTTGCATTTTTATTATTGATTGTAAATCACTTCAAAATGTTCAAAAAGTTATACTGGTTGGCCTGGAAAAGGATGTGTGCCTTTATTATATGTACTTACCTGGGAGCAAGTTCTACTGAACTCTGTGGAGTGTGTTTCTCAGAAGACCAATACAAGATTTCAGTACTAAAGTATTAATTTAAACATCAGCATGGACAAGGAGTGCCAACCTTATAGTGTTCAGAATGAATCTGCAAAACTATAACATGTACAAGTCTATAACAGAAAAGAAATTAAAGATAAAATTGGGGGGGGAGATAAAATAGAATTCTAAACTAGAAGCCTAGAAAACCATGATCAAAATTGCACTGAAAAATATGATATTGGTGTGGTGAGAGTATGGGGAAGAAGGATTGTAAAGGTATTAATGATACTTAAGATTGTTTTAAGGAATAGAACATTGTTAATTATCTTTTAACAATATCTTTAATACGGGGAATTTGTAATCTAGCATAATATCCTATTTCATTTCACATTTTGGAAGAAAGTTTAGGTTACATCATCCAATAGTTCATACTTGATTAGTATTTGATTTTCATGCTGCGGTGCAGTGGATGGCAGGGTTGGTTAGAGAATGATAAACTACTTTTGAAAATAATGTTGGTGATTTTTTTCCTGCTTGCTTCTACCAAGTCTGATAATTTGAAAGGGTTGGTTTCACTTTTTCTAGGCAAACATTTTTACAGCTGTTAGTTAGGATGGGTTCATAAAATTGGTTTTCATTACTTATGGCCACTCTCCATCCTGAAATGAAGCTTGTGCAGAAAACTATTTCTGTGGATAGAGCTGCAGTGATTTCCATAAACATAATATCAGAGAAAAGTATTGTGGCCATAAAAACTGCAACTATTCTGGCTATGACCCTATTCACCATAACTTATGCATTTATTTAATATTTTATACATATAACACACATTTCTTAATACCATACAAGTCTGTCTATCTGAGAGCCAGTTTGGTGTTAAGATGCTGGGCTAGAAACCAGTACATTGAGTTGTAGGCCTCCCTTAAGCATGAAAGCCACTGGGTGATTTTGGGCCTATCACTCTCTCTCAACCCAGCCCATCTCACAGGGTTGTTGTTGTGGAGAACATAGGAGGCAGGAGTATTAAGTATGTTTGCCGCCTTGAGTTGACCCCCCCCCCCAAAAAAAGGCAGGATAAAAATTTAATAATAATAACAAAACAACAACTTGCAAGCCTCACATTTCTTCCTGGAGGATATGCAAAATCAGGTTTATTTTAATTCTGAGACCTACCTCTCACATTCAAAAAAATAACGGTGGGACAAATGGTACAAGTCTTTCTTTTCCCCCCACCAAATAGGTCTTAATAATATAGTATTGCTTTTCTTGTTTCTTAGTTTGCAGTTTAATCTCTCTTTACAGATTTTAAGCTATGTGTTGAATGGTCGAAAGAGGCTTGTGGAAAGCTCAAAATACTCTCTGTGTGTGCACAATTCCAGTAGCAGTTTGTGGAAGACTATCAGGTTAATGGTTTCACTGGATCAACCTCTTAGTGTTCCTTTGTGCTCATTACAATTCACATGAGTAAATTTAAACCATCTGCTTTTAACAGCCTTGTCACAATGGATGCAGCCACTGAGAGAAAATTACTTTGTTTTTTAAAATAGTGGACATTACTTGGTTGTAAAAGAAGAGCCAGTGTTAAGATGCTTGACCAGGAATGGGAAGACCCAAGTTCTAATCCTTCCTTAAGTACAGAAGCCAGCTGTGTGACTTTGACCGGTCATTCCCTCTTGGGCTCAAAAACAGTGCCAACCTCTACAACAAACTAGCTGAAAACCAAACCCCTCATTGCATCACACATCAATAAGCTTTGGGGTAAGAACTAGGCAAACACAGTGAAAAACAGGCAGACCTTGCATCCAAGCAGGACAAATGCTAAGAAAAGCAATAGCAACTTGGCTATAGAAGCTTAATTAAAAGAAGAAAGTTGCCTCCCTGTTAATCTGATGCAGATGTTATATGTGTCATATATAAATAGCTGCAGGCTTTAGTTTATTTAATTTGTAGATTAATCTAAAATCTCATATGTCGAGGAACGTGTTTATGTGCTGGCTCTTCTCTCTATCTAAATTTTTAAACCAGTATAGATTTCCTTCAAGCAATAAGGATGCTTGCTATCTCAGAAGGACAGCCAAATTCAGGATTTAGCCACCAGCAAGAAGTCACTCTTTTTCAATTACTAAGCACCACTGTGAATGAACCAGTGGTGTTGATTTAAAATAGGTTTATCTGCTGATGGGATTTGAGTTTGTTTATTCTTAAAGATGTCCACCAGGGAAGTTGTATCTGCTACATTAAAAAAAAAAAAAGTCCTGTGCCTCCTAAAAAGCAAATTTAACTAAATTTAGCTTTTAGGAGTCAAATGTATTATAGTAAAGGCTTTTCTAGGCAATCCTAGTACAAAAAAGCTTTTTAAAAAAGTCCTTTGGTTCTGTTACCTATCCTTGAGCCCTTAGTTAAAAAAAAGGAAAATACTAAATACAGCTTTGTATGAATGAATGGAATTGAAGAAATGTTAAGCATTTTCTTTTAAAAAGCAACAACAGTTGAAGTTTGGATGAAGTGCAGATTCGTCTGAATAATTCATTTTAATCAGTTAAAAAGAACCTCCTTATTCTATTGCAAATATTTGAATTACTTTGTAACTTCAAAATAATAATTAAGTCTTGAGCAACCATAATCAATGTATACTTTTCCACATTTTTCATACTAACGTGCCAGTCACATCTGCTGACTTAAAGGAATCTCTTAGTATTGTGGGTTTACCCATTAATGTTTGTTCTATATATTCTGGATAATCCTTAAGGCAGTTAGACAAATAAGCTTGTCATATCAAATGCTAAGGATGAGAAATGTAACTAAATGAAACGTATTAGCTTTTTTTTTTTTTAAACGGACAATTATGGTAGAAAAAGTATTAAACTAGAGCTGGCCATAGTCTTATAAGTGGCTTTATATTATTACATGCAATAAGCTGCTTGTTTATTGGAGAGAGACTTTTCCACACTACACAATGAAAGCTTTCATACTAGTCCATATAAAAGTGAAATGTACTCAGGCCAGCTTCTGGTGCCAGACAGCTTCCTAACAAACCACTGTTCCCTTGATGTTGGAAGCCTCTTACTGTACACAGACACTCCTCAGGGTTCATATGACAAATATGCAGTTGTTTTACTGTATGTACTTTCAAGGGTATTGAATTAGGCTAAATGCCATGGTTTCTTTAATACTGGGGCATTAGTTACAACTAATCATAAATTTTAAACTGTCTGGGTACCTATCTTGTGCTCTTATATTTAGACAAGCAAAGCGCTAGTAAGAACATCTTTGTTTCCAAAAATCTTGCAGGAATTATGTAAGCACAGTGGACTCTTAGTGGGGAGATCTGCAGAAATGCAGTGGGTAATAGGCAGTCTGGGTCTTTAGAAAGACTGGTCTTTTTCTTAAGCACATCTGATGAAGCTTAATCTCTGGTCATTGAGATACATCACAAAAGGGTCTCAAATCCACTGATTCTTTTTCCCATGCACGTGGAAAGAGAGAAAATGTGTTCTTTTTGGTAATTTATTTTGGGAGTGAGAGTGAAAATGAGAGGAATCTGGCAGCATAACCAGCAGCCAGATACCAACCAGATGAACTTAATGAGTCCAAATACCAGACAAAACAGCAGCCAGGTCATGTCATTGCTTATATTTTGATCATAATATTTACTGTGTTGCTTCACTTTGTTTTTTCGGTGTGGTATTCCTATACAGTTCCTGTACAAAGGACTGCTTTGAAGTCAAGACTGTGAAGTTACGTTGCCTGCCACGTTTGCTTGGATCTCTCATTTTTTGGAAGCTTCCTGCCTCAAAATAGCGAGAAATAATTTCATTGATATTGGACAATTGAACAACTGGATTTTGAAGAGCGCTTCAGGAGCCATCAGAAAGGATAGCAAGGAGGCTGAAGACAAATTTAGCTTCATTTTTCAAACAGTATGTAAAAGTATATACAGTATATACACACAATATCTGCATATTACCACCACCCCCAATCTGTGAATGTGTGTAGGTAGTATCTCTTACATGCAACAGCTATAAATTTGATTGATTGATTCATGGATTGATTAAATAAAGGATCCTTTTCAGAACTTTGCTTCGCTAATCTACTTACCTTCTCCACTTGTTCGCTTGTGGCCAAGTTGAATCCCAATGTTTAGCTAAAAAGCAGTATCTACTAGCTTATGGGCTTCTAATAGCCAGAAAACTGTTAGGAAGGTCCTTGGCTTATCTTCTCTTACATTTTTCTCTCATTGCAGCCTTTAAAAAGAGGCAAATTTATTCTTTTCACTCTTGCTGATCCCTTCTGCTGGATCTCTTTTTGAAGCTTAGTGTCAAGCTCAAGCTTAGGTTCAGCATCTGTGCATTATTATGGCCTTTTAGTTCAAATTATAAAAATAGACTCCCTAACCTGGCAGCATCCAAGCATGCCGGATTATAGCTCCCTTCATCCTGGTGACACAGTGGGTCTTGATGCATTCTCTGGTTCTGAATACATTTGAAGGGCCCTTGAAAAGGCTGCAGCAGAACTGAAACATGATATAAAATAGCATACATGTAAGAATTAGAGATACAGTGTGAAACCCTGGTTGTTGTTGTTTTTGCAAGAAATAATAATTCTTTTTTTAAAATAATATTTTATTGAAATTTTAAAGTTACAAAGTTAAAAGTTAGAAATGAAAAAGAAAATTGAAAATACAAATTATAAAGAAAAGGAAAAGAAAAAAGAATTAGAGATACAGTGTGAAACCCTGGTTGTTGTTGTTTTTGCAAGAAATAATAATTCTTTTTTTAAAATAATATTTTATTGAAATTTTAAAGTTACAAAGTTAAAAGTTAGAAATGAAAAAGAAAATTGAAAATACAAATTATAAAGAAAAGGAAAAGAAAAAGTGAGATAAAGTAAAAAAAAGAAAAAAGATATGAAATAATGAAATAAAGATAATGGCAGAAAATGATAAACTGACTTGCTTATTAAAAGAAAATTCAAATAACTATTACCTTAAAGAATGGAAACCATTGATGGACTATTTGCAAAATGCAGGCGGGGTGAAGATTGCATGGGGATTTGAAGATTAGATTATAAATGTAATGGGATATGTTTTGACAAAGAATTA